AACCCACCCACTATGCTAGGCCCCCTGCTGCAGAAACTAAACTCCTAGTAAGAATTTGGTTGGCTAACACCACCATTCTGGTTAAAGAGTACTTTCTGGATGTTGTCATGAAAAATTCAATAAATTAGTATGGTATACTCTTACGTCAGAACAGATTTTAGTGTAATTTGCCTTAACCAAGGGGTGACAAAGGGAAGTGAGACAAAGCCAAAACAAAGTCAAGACATCAAGGGACATTTTGAAGTAAAGCTTTCGATAGCTTCTACTCAAAACAATCGTATAATTTTTACCCTGTTGGGACAAAGAGTGAGTGACAAGCGTCCGACCTCTTACCCAAGCCCTCTTAAAATCTATTATCGACAAACTACAAAAACTATTTTATTTTAGTTCCTCCACAATTAGCCACAGTTAGCACTTAAAGCTAACATAAAGGTGTTTTTGACACATTATCCCATTGCTATGATTACCTGTTATGTCAAGTAAATCATCAAGCCGGGCTCACCATGGATTAGGTTTTCGTTTAATACCATTATTGTAGGATAACTGATAAAGAGTGCAAGTAATGCATCAAAGTATATCTACTAGAAAATGCGCAAATGAGCAAATAAAATACCCAAACTATTTAAAAAGACACCGTCAGCTAAATAAAATAGCTCTTCTACAGTTGCAGTAAACATTTCTACCTAAACATTTACGTTTTCCTTAAAACTACCGTCCGAGTAACAATCTCAGATCACTTCCGTTTGATTGCACGTATCTTGTAAGGAACAGGAAACTGTGTGCCACTAAACAATCCCTTCAAGCTTGGCGGACTACCATCTTCCTCAGCGATGAAAGTGAACTTCTGAAGCATCCACGAGAGAAACAAAAACAACTCAACTTTGGCCAGGGGCTCACCAGCACAGACACGGCGTCCCGCTCCAAAAGGATAGAAATTGCCTTGGTTGGTGATTAACTTACCATTCTCGTCGATGTGACGGTAAGGGTTAAACACGGTTGGGTTTTCCCAGCATTTGGGATCCAGATGAACAGATTCTGTGTCAGCAAACACGATAGTATCTTTGGGGATGCGGTAACCACAGAGTGTCGTATCTGTAAGAGTGAAGTGAGGTATCGCAAGAGGTACTACGTTTCCAACTCGTAATGTTTCTATGATGGTCGCGTGAATGAGGGGCAATTTGGCTCGGTCTTCCAAACCGGGATTCCGTCCACCAAGTACTTCGTCTAAATCGAGCTGAATATCCTCTTGGTACTTTGGATAGTTGACCAAGAAGGCTATCGCCCATTTCATTGTTGTGCTTGTAGTTTCGTAACCGTCATTAAACATATCTCTGATGGTATTGACGAAGTAGTCGTCGGAAAGGAAAGCTACCCGCTGAACATCACTCTCGCATTCGGCTTCATGTTTCGCGTGCAAGAGACCCGAGATCAAATCATGCACAGGTTCATCTGGGTCGAAAGTTTTTATTCGCTCTCCTAAGAATTTGCGGATAATATCAAAAATCCCTAGCACTGGCTGGACGAGGCGATCATAGGCCTTAATGGGGAAGTACTTTGCTAAAGGAAAGTTATCTAAAACGGCTACCAGCTGATTATCATCGGTATTTGTAACAATGTCTACGTTAAGTTTCAAAAGCTTGTTCAAATCTGGGTTCGTGGTGTCGTAGCCTTCTCCAAACGTGATTCCACAAATAACATCAGCAACGGCACGCTGCAAGATATCTGCGGGATTAAAAGGCTTTTCATCTTGGTCTTCCATGAAATGCACCAGTTTCTCGGCGTGTATGGAAACTCGCCTTTCTATCAGTGGGATATCAGAAAGATATTGTCGCAAGGCTGTTGTAAAAAGCTTGCGATGAAACTTCCAGGCGGGCCCATAGTTACCCAACGCAATACCTTTACCTCCTGTAACAGTTCGAAAAACATTGGCATTTTTTGTTATACTTACTGATCAATATTCATAGACACATCTTTGATATTTCACATCTATGTTATGATTAACTGACAGTTGTCAAAACAAGATAACACTGACCAGTATCACGTGACCATGTTGCTACTTAGGGGAGAGTCCTGAAGGGGTAAAATGGGAACTGGGACTATCCTGTTTTTGCCGGGGGAAAATGGGATTTAGGTCACTAGGACTGGGATTTGGTCGCTGCAAATGGGAAAAAAAAATATCAAAAATGGGAATGGGATAAACATTGTGTAACCATGACCAGTCGAGCCATCACTTATTTCCTGTGATTGAGAAAGGTCAGAAAAATTTCCAAGCACCTTGTTCGTGTCAGTTTTGAGCATGTTCATCCAGATCTAAGTTAGAATCAGGGTAAATGCATAAACGCCTTATATCCAAGAATTTTTTTCTTGTTTTGGGATGATGTTTAGAGCGGTCAAAATTCAAAATAAAAGAACTTTTACGTACATCTTGGCATGCAAAATTAACCGTGTTTCTAAGTATGCATGGGCTTAGAAAAAGAATAAAATATCGACATAGAAAAGGTGGACAGTCAGAAGNGAAATGCTTCACCAATAACCTACCAAGTGTTGCCTTCTCGAAGAAGTATGTCTGCTGTCTTCCAGCATAATCAGCAGATCTCTGTACGAGCATTTCCTTAACGGCCTCAGGAGTTGAAGCCATCACGAATTTGTAGCTTCCAAGTTTCAGGGAGAAAACTCGACCGTAGTTTTCTCTGAGACTGTAGAACAACACAAAATTCTATCATTCAGGGCGATGATTCCCTTATACCTTAATTCTGAACTCTTGTAATTTTTAAAGGACCTTTAAAAAGATCCTTTACCTCAACGAAATAAGGTAAATTTAAATGCACGAGTAAGGACACAATTCTCTATGCAATACCACATGATTTGAACAAATCCATCGCACTTGTTCACGCCGTACACCTTTATAGTTTTAGGGCATAGAAATGACATCATAAAATGTAAAAGTGGAGCCATGATTTCAAGAAGTCAGTTAAATTGTCTTTATAATTTAATGTCAATATAACAAGCGCTTTTATTGGTTTAACCACTGTGCTTCATGGGAGTTGACAAAGCACGGAGCTCAAGAATGCTCGCGCCATTATCCGCCCTGGTTGATAACACGAGGACGAATTTCCGAATTGTCCCGGAATTTTTTTCCCAAACAATCGATCAAAATATTTGTTTGCAACTTAGACATCCCCGAACAAGAGGAGTTTTTCGCTGGAGAAGACATTATGACTGTTAACAGTACAAACGGCACTTTAACTACGAGTAAGTTTAATACCAGTGACATCAGACATCAGGGAGCCTAGCCTGATTGGCAAAACATTTCCGATGCCTAGACAGACGGCATTATCAACAAGGCAGAGACCAAAAGAAAACACTAAATGGGCTTTCCCAGTAACGTTATCTGCCTGTAAGGTTGAAGACAATCGGGGGAGATTGTCGACTTGTCTCATGCACAGTGTATGCACAATATTGAAGCTTTAAGGTCCTTTAATTTAGGCGAAAACCAATGCGTTAAATCACGGTGTGAGAATTTATTATTATCATGTATCTTGTATCTTGTACCCACTCTGAACGCGACATTCAGTTTATTGTTTTTTTAATTGAAAGGGATTGCGAATAAACCTCCATGAGAAACAGTCACTTCGCTTACAGACCATAATATCGTCTATTAGTACATTTGTCATCTACGGCCTAACGCTCTATCGCGATTGCCGTTCTCTTATTCGCTACTCCAGTATTTACTGACCTTTTGAAAGCGTCGGTAAGTTTCTCCGCCTTGAAGTCGAGAGAAAATACGTTCCCTAAGAATGGGATAGCCGTCAAACGCGGACCCGGTGGCATGTTCCTGAACTCGTTGAGCACGATCAGGTAATGCAAGAGTAGAAGCAGAAGCAATACCAGAAGAACATTTAGAAAACTGAGAGAACCATAAACCGTGGCAAACAAAGACGCCATGTTTGATATGTTTGATTTCACTGAAACGTGATGAAAAATGCCATGCAAAAAGGGCTGTCACGCAACGTTGCCAAAACAACGCATCGTCTCATCGTATATTTTCGTTAGCGCTCACGATATGTCTTTTAAGAGGCTACTATTCCAGGAGTTACTTCGTTTTGGAACTTGAATATACTGACGTAAAGCATGGAGACATGGCGCCCACTCAAGTGCAAGTGAAAGCTTACTGAAACCAGAAATACTTCGACGTTGTTGATGGTTACTACCTTCGTTATCAAGCGGGAAGATGAGAGACCCTTGGAACAAGGTTGCGTTATCCCATTCATTTTGCAAGCAGAAAAAAATATCAGAAAGAGCAGAAAAACAAAAAAAAAACGTTGTCGCCGTAAGCCTGTGACCTCTTACCTAAGCGTTCTGATAACTCATAAGTTATAAACTACGGAAACTGTTTAACAGGTAACAATTCTGTTCCTAGTGTTACTTGTTATGTCAATTGAATGACTTAAACGGGTTCAACAACCTTTAATACCACTATTGTAGGATAAAATGATAAGGAGTGCTGGTAATAACCCATCAAAGATTCAAATATCGCAAATTTAACATAAAACTATTAAGAATCTCAACTAGTTTTAGGGCTAACAAGATGGCCACTTTTTAAAACAAAAGCTAAGGAACCTCGTTAAAATCCTTGATGCCAAAATGTAATCAATGTAGGGTTAGGTTAGAGTTTATGGCGTAATCCATTATCCTAGAACTTCTACGAGTAAATGACAAATAATCAAAAGACTAATAGGCTTTAAAGAGCGTAAGTAAAAGCTCAGGTGACAGGGTATTCTGTTGCTATTGTTACCTGTTATTGTTACCTGTTATGTAAATCATATAAGGAGTGCTGGTAATAACACCCCAAAATCCTTAGTACAACTGAAGCTCTGATGGACTTTAAAAAGCCGCATAACAAAAGCGAAACACGTTCCTTCATTATCAGGCCTATTTCAAAATATACGCTCAGCTCACTGCAGTAACTCCTGTACAGCAACTTTTAACGCTCCTACTCATAGATTTAAACATTTACGCCTTTCGTAAAAGCTAATTCCACCAGAGGGTAGTTTCTCCACCCATTGTCCGTCCGAGTAACACTCTCAGTTGACTTCCGTTTGATTGCACGTACCTTGTAAGCAACAGGGAATTGTGTGCCACTATACATTCCCATCAAGCTTGGCGGATGACCATCTTCTTCAGCGATGAAAGTGAACTTCTGAAGCATCCACGAGAGAAACAGAAAAAATTGTTATATACCCAGACTTTCACTCAACAAAACGAGCAGTGTGATTTGTTGATTCTTGGTCACGTGCCCCTGATCAAGTTCAAATGTATCCCGACCGGGATACAATCGCACAGTTGTTGCCCGCGCGCCAAATACAACAGCACGTGATCAGTGCATGACTAACTTAAAAATGGCATGATCTTCAGCACGTGCTCGCGTCA